CACCAGACATCAGCTCACATGAGGCCAACACACACACACACACACACACACACACACACACACACACACACACACACACACAGCTTCAGGAACACCTCCATACGGTCCACCCGCGCCTGAGGAGCACCAGACATCAGCTCACATGAGGCCAACACACACACACACACACACACACACACACACACACACACACACACACACACAGCTTCAGGAACACCTCCATACGGTCCACCCGCGCCTGAGGAGCACCAGACATCAGCTCACATGAGGCCAACACACACACACACACACACACACACACACACACACACACAGCTTCAGGAACACCTCCATACGGTCCACCCGCGCCTGAGGAGCACCAGACATCAGCTCACATGAGGCCAACACACACACACACACACACACACACACACACACACACACACACACACAGCTTCAGGAACACCTCCATACGGTCCACCCGCGCCTGAGGAGCACCAGACATCAGCTCACATGAGGCCAACACACACACACACACACACACACACACACACACACACACAGCTTCAGGAACACCTCCATACGGTCCACCCGCGCCTGAGGAGCACCAGACATCAGCTCACATGAGGCCAACACACACACACACACACACACACACACACACACACACACACACACACACACACACACAGCTTCAGGAACACCTCCATACGGTCCACCCGCGCCTGAGGAGCACCAGATATCAGCTCACATGAGGCCAACACACACACACACACACACACACAGCTTCAGGAACACCTCCATACGGTCCACCCGAGCCTGAGGAGCACCAGACATCAGCTCACATGAGGCCAACACACACACACACACACACACACACACACACACACACACACACACACACACACAGCTTCAGGAACACCTCCATACGGTCCACCCGCGCCTGAGGAGCACCAGACATCAGCTCACATGAGGCCAACACACACACACACACACTCTCTCCTCAAACACTGTGCTCATCCGCGCTGTGCCGTGTCGAGGGTGCCGAGGCACAACTCACGTAAAGCTGATGATTCCGCGAATGGCTGCAATTGCAGATTCCGAACAGAGATGGCGACAAAGAGGAAACACTGCGGACTGCAGCTTTAAGAAAAATAGAACTAGTGCTTATTGTTTTTAGTTACTAGTAACATTTCAGATCAAAGATATCCTTATATTAGGGGTGTAACGGTACATGTATTCGTATTGAATCGTTTCGGTACGAGGCTTCCGGTTCGGTACGCATACAAACCGAACGATTCCTAGGACCATTTTTCCTGCCGACAAAATCCGCGCTGGCGCGAAATGGCAAGCGTAATGAAAGCGGAACGAAACTGCGCTATTGTGCTTCACGGATCGTTTATCAGTTCGGAGCAGAGCAGCAACATCTGTGCAGCGCGAGCCGATCTCGATCAAGCGACACTGTTACAACCGTTACAACACAGCGCTGAGAGATCCAATAAAGAAAACATTTGAGTTCGCCACTGAAGTAATAACATCGCTGCGAGATCTAGTGAGAAGCATTCACATTTCTCTGTTATTAACCGTAGATCTCTATTAGATCAAACAGCGCTGACGTGGACACCAGGAGAAACATTGTGCCGTGAATGAACTAGTAATAGGCTACTTTACGTCCACAGACCAGCAACATCCACCATGGATTTAATATAGTAACACTAACTGTAACCAGTTTGGCTGGAATAATGAAATGCTTTCAAGTACTTCACACATCTTTTTCCAGCTCTTCAAAACTCAAATATTATATAATAAATATATGAAGAGTTCAGATGCAAAAGCCTCTATAAGTGCCATTTGAAATTTTCTTCTAGAATGATCATTTTTATCAAGCTTGTACATTTAAGTTCAGTAATTTCACTCAAATGACAATTAATAGGTAATCTTCATTGCCATTTAAGTGAAATTACTGAACTTAAATATACAAGCTTGATAAAAATGATCATTCTAAGAAAATTTCAAATGGCTTTTGCATCTAAACTCTTCATATATTTAAATGTTATTTTTAATGTGATGACCAAAACATTATTTGTTCATCCTTCAAAGATGACCCCCATTTATAAACCTGAAAGTTTCAAGATGTAGGAAATTCTCTGGCATTTCTTTCTTTTTGCTGTATCGAAAACGTACCGAACCGTGACTTTAAAACCGAGGTACGTACCGAACCGTGATTTTTGTGTACCGTTACACCCCTACTTTATAGATACTAGTACTATTTAAAACTTAGGTCAAGTTGGTTTTATATTCGCACATTCGCGTTAAAGATTGGAAGCAGCTGCATGATATTGACAACAACGATTGTGAACTACAACATTTTCTACAATCGATCAAAATGGGCAAGTATATTTTTAATGCATCCATAACTTTAGAGAATATTAATGTGCAGACTGATCTCATGAAATGGCGTATGTATGACACGCCAATTCGTATTTCCATTTTTGGCGTGCTATCAACACGCATAATCGCTTTTCAGCGTGTTTATCAACGCCTTTGACTTAACGTTATATTACTGTATTATGCATATATAAATATATGACCTACCCCAACCCCGTCCCTAAACCTACCCGTCACTGGGGTTAATACCATTTATGAGTCTTCTCCTACCATCCTAGGAAAAGAAATATCGCTCCACAGATGTAGATATAGATTTTGCTTCGTTTCGCTCGGACATTTAACGGCGTAGACATACACGCGGAATCACTCGGACATTTAATGGCGTAGACATACACGCAAAAGATTTCGGCGTGGACATACACGCGGATATTTCAAAATGCGTATAGATAGCACGCCACTTGAATTGAAAGTGGCGTGTATGTTTACGCAAAGTCATGATGTCATGTTGCAATGTGGTAACCAAGATAGGGACCGTCTAAAAAGGTAATATTGTTTTTCATCGTGTGCAAACAGACAACTACATCTTAGCCAACTGCAGATGTACCAGCAAATATCTCTCACATTATGTGTTCTGGTGTCCTTTAGCAACTAAACCTGCGTTATAATGATGGTGTTTATGAAATAATGAATGAACCTGTACACGAACTGCAATTTGGCAACAATCCAGACTGTGGAAAGTGGAAAATCATGTTTAATCTCCTGAACATAGTTAATCGCTTCATTTCACAACCGTTTATATTTATTTATTTGAGAAAAAAAAAGAAAAAGAACTGTGTAAGTGTGGTGGTTTTAATAATGACATATGATTCATTTCAAAAGGGTTTGAAAAGCATCGAGACGACTGCTACTTGGATCATCTTACCCCACAGCCCGTGTCTTGCTGTTCATCTGTGATAAAGACTGTAACAGAAAGAATGGCTAACTCTATTTGATGTTTTCCTGTTGTATGACATCTGTGTTTAACAATAACACAATTCATGTGCATTGCTTGATGTTTACAGTCCTGCAGAAATATCACTGTCCGTGGGACTGAGTTTCATACACTATCCTGTACTCCAGAATCCACTTCTTCAGGACTTCACAACAAAAACTTAACTTGAATCATTACAATAAGGGTGTTGCTTATTTATAACGTTGAAAATATGATTAATCTAAAGTATCTGAATCTCTTTAATCAATGAAAGAAATGTGTTGCACAAGGAACAGCAGTTATAATACATACTTTACCTAATACATTAATTAGAGTGATCACTAGGAACATGCTATAACCTCTGGAACATGGAAAAGGTGAAATTAGAATAATTTCTTCAGAAGAATATGATTGTAGTATACGTACAGTAAGGTGGGTATAGGCAGTATTCAACATGTAGTCAGTCTGATCACTAGGAAATTACTACAACCATTGGAATATATATATATAAACACTATAGGTGAATTACAGTTTATTAAATAAACATATGTAATAAACACATGTAATAATGTTTATTTCATAAATATATTTGATAATTGTACAGTAAGGGAGGTATTGTCGATATTCCACTGTAGTAAGTCAGTGTGGTCGGTAGGAAAGCACTACAGCCTTTGGAACAACTTTTACATAAAACATTTTTGCGTACTGTACAATAGCCTACACAACAGTACACTAAAGCAGTCCAGGTGAATACGCAGCAAATATCAAACCTGAAGC